TATATTTACTATTGAAAATCCCATGACCTTTCCAAACCTGGTAAACTGAATTTAAAAGAAAACATTTTGCGCAGTCAAGCACCACAAATATTACAGTACCCTGTGCAATTACCTTTCCTCCAGTGAAGATCATCCTGTCAAAGACATAGTGTATATCTTCTGGTGCAATACTGTTCCATTTCTCCATGTCTTGCTCTTTATCCTCCTCCTCGTCGCTGTCCATCAGCAGGCCATTGAGGGCGGAAGGAGACGTGGCTGTGGAGGGTTCCTGGGAAAACGCCTCAGATCTGGCATCCATCCCACCGTCGCTCACCAGGAGCTCGGTGAACCCCGCTCTCAGGCTCTCATCTTCCTCCATATCCCTCTCATCCTCATCATCACTGCTGTCTCCGTCCTCCTCGCCGCTCTTCTCCACCTCCCCCCGGTTCTTCCGGTCCAGGCTGCAGGATCGGGCCGTGCGAGAACGTCTGGGTTTCTTCCTCAGTAAGACACGGCTAGCGTTTGCTCCGTTCCTGCTCTGCGGACAGGCAAAATACTTGTAGGCCGTGCGGAAGCGTTCCTGGATGTATTCAAACACCATCTGACTGTTCAGACTGCGAGCCACATTCCTCTTCAATGCAAACGGATCTGAAACACATGATTGAGTCATTTACAAGTGCTTTCATACTGCAGTTGAAGCTCCTTATTTCATCTTAATGTGACAAACAAAGTGCACTTAAAAACACATGAAAGTGTAAAGCACTGTGCTGTTTGATATTGTTCATCAGTATCGGTTGATACTGGATATTGAATTGTGTTAATTTTTAGATTACCTGTGCAATCATCTAACACTCATCTCCTGTTAATCAGTAACACCTTGCAATAAGACTTCATATGAGCTAACAATGAACAATACTTATGTATTTAATTGTATTAATGTTACAAAAATGCATTTATTAATGCATTTTTGAAATCAAAAGTTGTATCTGTTAACATGAGCTAATAAACAAACAACTGTATTTTATATATACTAAAATTAACATTAACAATCTTTTTAGTAATATTTTACATTAGTTTTTACCATTCAGGTTGTTTGATAAGTGTGTATATATATATATATATATATATA